CGCTATTCCTAGCTGCCTCTCGCTGGCTGCTCCCAATGACAAGCCACCTCCCACCAGCTGACTGCTTGCCTTCTGCTGCCATCTGCCTCTCTGCTGTGACCTCTGCAGGTCAGTCTCTTAGTGACTGTCAGCTCTTAGGTTTCAGAGTAGCAGCCGTGTTAGCCTGTGTCCACAAAAAGAAAAGGAGGACTTGTGGCACCTTAGAGACTAACAAATTTATTTGAGCATAAGCTTTCATGAGCTTTCGTGTAGAGCTTTCTTTTTGTCAGCTCTTAGTGATTTTTAGCTCTTAACAGGCTGGGCAGAAACACTGTCCCTGCACAAGTGATTTCAGCTCTTATTGAGCACTTAAAATAACAAAAGGTTCCTAATGGAGCCTATTTAGCTTTATCTTTGAAAAGTGGGGAGGAACAGGTTAAACCAGACCGTGGACCCTTAGGGAGAGTCCACACCTCCTAGCTGGGAAACATGTCTCCTCCTCCTCCCCCCTGTTACTTTCATCGGGGTCTGGCGTTCGAGCCCCTGGCTTAACGAGGTCCTTTCAGCTGAGGGTGATCTCCTTATTTGGGACAGGTTAAGCACAGTTTTGCTCCCCTTTACTCATACAATAAAGACAATAACATTAATAGAATCATAGGACTGGAAGGGACCTTGAGAGGTCATCTAATCCAGTCCCCTGCACTCATGGCATTACTAAGTATTATCTAGACCATCCCTGACAGGTGTTTGTCTGACTTGCTCTTAAAAATCTCCAATGATGGAGACTCCACAACCTCCCTAGGCAATGTATTCCAGTGCTTAACCACCCTGACAGTTAGGAAGTTTTTTCTAATGCCCAGCCTAAACCTCCCGTGCTGCAATTTAAGCCCATTGCATCTTGTCCTATCCTCAGAGGTTAAGAAGAACAATTTTTCTTCCTCCTCCTTGTAACAGCCTTTTACATACTTGAAAACAGTTATCATGTCCCCTCACATTCTTCTCTTTTCCAGACTAAACAAACCCAGTTTTTTCAATCTTCCCTCATAAGTCATGTTTTCTAGACCTTTAATCATTTTTGTCACTTTTCTCTGGACTCTCTCCAATTTGTCCACATTGTCCTTCCTGAAATGTGGCGCCCAGAACTGGACACAATACTCCAGATGAAGCCTAATTAGCACAGAGTAGAGCTGTCATAAATATAAAGGGAAGGGTAAACCCCTTTGAAATCCCTCCTGGCCAGGGGAAAGCTCCTCTCACCTGTAAAGGGTTAAGAAGCTAAAGGTAACCTTGCTGGCACCTGACCAAAATGACCAATGAGGAGACAAGATACTTTCAAAAGCTGGGAGGAGGGAGAGAAACAAAGGGTCTGTGTCTGTCTGTATGCTGGGTCTTTGCCGGGGATAGACCAGGAATGGAATCTTAGAACTTTTAGTAAGTAATCTAGCTAGGTATGTGTTAGATTATGATTTCTTTAAATGGCTGAGAAAAGAATTGTGCTGAATAGAATAACTATTTCTGTCTGTGTATCTTTTTTGTAACTTAAGGTTTTGCCTAGAGGGGTTCTCTATGTTTTTGAATCTAATTACCCTGTAAGATATCTACCATCCTGATTTTACAGGGGGGATTTCTTTATTTCTATTTACTTCTATTTTTTATTAAAAGTCTTCTTGTAAGAAAACTGAATGCTTTTTCATTGTTCTCAGATCCAAGGGTTCGGGTCTGTGGTCACCTATGCAAATTGGTGAGGCTTTTTATCCAACATTTCCCAGGAAAGGGGGGGGTGCAAGTGTTGGGAGGATTGTTCATTGTTCTTAAGATCTAAGGGTCTGGGTCTGTAGTCACCTAGGCAAATTGGTGAGGCTTTTTACCAAACCTTGTCCAGGAAGTGGGGTGCAAGGTTTTGGGAAGTATTTTGGGGGGAAGGACGCGTCCAAACAGCTCTTCCCCAGTAACCAGTATTAGTTTGGTGGTGGTAGCGGCCAGTCCAAGGACAACGGGTGGAATATTTTGTACCTTGGGGAAGTTTTGACCTAAGCTGGTAAAGATAAGCTTAGGAGGTTTTTCATGCAGGTCCCCACATCTGTACCCTAGAGTTCAGAGTGGGGGAGGAACCTTGACAAGAGCAAAAGAATTACTTCTCGTGTCTTGCTTATAACACTTCTGCTAATACATCCCAGAATGATGTTTGCTTTTTTGGCAACAGTGTTACGCTGTGGACTCATATTTAGCTTGTGGTCCACTAGGACCTCCAGATCTCTCTTTGCAGTACTCCTTCCTAGGCAGTCATTTTCCATTTTGTATGTGTGCAATTGATTGTTCTTTCCTAAGTGGAGTGCTTTGCATTTGTCCTTATTGAATTTCATCCTATTTTACTTCGGACCATTTCTCCAGTTCGTCCAAGTCTCTCCTCTTCCCCAACTAGCTGTCAGGAAAGAACTCATTCAGACCCTGCTTACAAATTGTTTTGCTGTAGAAATGGTCGATAGCTTCTTTACGAACTACTCAATGCAGGTGCTCACGCATGACATTGTCATATTTCCCAAGGAGTGCTACTAAACTGAGGAAATTACCATTATGTTCCGTGAACAACTTATCCAAACCCCAGAAAGGCAAATTATTCTTTGCAGGGAAGAGGGTAATTGAGATCAGAGGCTTGAGCACGTTCCTTCAAAGCTGGGTTTCTACATTAATAATGCGCTGGTTTTCTGGATCTATGCATTTATTCAGCTTGAACCTGGACTGGAATGCCATCCATTTGGAGTAGGCCATAAAATGGCCAGATGCCTTTTCATGTTGCTTCAAAGCATCAGCTAAGTTATGCCAGTAATTGTACCCCGAAAGCACAAGCAATCATTTGGCATTCTTGTCAAATATTTTGCAATAAAAACAGAACACGTTGTCTATTGATTCTGAGTAAACTAGTTAATGCCGATTCAGTTTCTTAGCATTCTTGAGCACTCTTTCGCAGTGTGACTTTGAGAAGTGTCGCTTCTGCTCATTTACTGGAAACATCATATCCTTGAATTTGCCCAGCCCCTTCAAAATTTTATGATCAGTAGCGGCAGAGTTTAGGATTGCTGGCCATAAAGCAGGATCTGATGTATCGATTTGTGGGGTGTAATTTTTCTCACTGCTGTTTCTGTCATCATGCGAGGCTGATTCTTCTCTATTGTTTCTCTCCTTTTCATGTAAACCAGATTTTTCTTTATCATCACTCTCCTTTACATCGCCAGGAAAACTGGACGATTCTTCATCACTTTCCTCACATTTCTATTCCTTATCAGGTAAATCTGCTAATTCCTTAGTAATAAGACTTCCATAATTTACACTTTGCTCCTCAATTTCTTCTGCAGTGGGACGCTCACTATTGCCTAAAGCAGGGGTGGCCAACCTGTGGCTCCAGAGCTGCAAGGCTCCTCAGACGTTAATAGGTGGCTCCTTGCATATGTGCTGACTCCAGGGCTGGAACAGTTGCTAACTTTCCACTGCTCAACCCTAGGCCCTGCCCCCACTCCACCCATTCCCCCAAGGCCCCCACACCTTCCCCTGAGCCTGCTCCTCCCGCTCCTTCCCCCGTGCCCTTGCTCCTCCCGCTCCATCCCAGAGCCTCCTGTACACTGCGAAACAGCTGATCACGGTGGGCAGGAGGCACGGGGAGGGAGGGAGAGGTGCTGATCGGCAGGGGTGCCAGCGGGCAGGAGATGCTGGGCCTGGCGGGGTGAGTGTGGGGTCAGCTCATGTATTACTGTGGCTCTTTGGCAATGTACATTGGTAAATTCTGGCTCCTTCTCAGTCTAGCCACCCCTGGCCTAAAGCCCAGTCTGTGGTGTTCTGTTTCAGATATTTTCCCATCAAATTTGCCCCTTGCTTCAAATGAGATTGCAGCTGAACTTTTTGCTTCCTATATTGAGCACCTGAAAGCTTCTTTGGGGTCATCTTTTATTTTCTATGGGGAAAAACAGACAGTATTAGGGAGAACAAAAGTCTATATTCCGCAGTCTTAGAAAGTTATCAAACATAATGTGTTAAGCATGGCAAAAGGAGTAACAGTATTTCTTTTATATTGTTGCTTAGATAAGGGTTCAACAGTTATTTCTGGTGTCTCATTAAATAGTCCTTTATTAGTCTGTATTTACTCTCTTCAAGTCTTAAACCCCAAAGTACTTTCACAATTACACAATATTGCAGCTGGGCTCTTACTTCACTCCGTATCTCACTGACTGACTGGCAGGGCCCTGCCCCTTACGCACCCACGAGGCTCTGGCTGACAAGATTCGAGGCGGTTCAAAGAAAATGTCGTTCTCAAAAAATCTGGAAGGTTGCACGAGATACTGCAAAGGTCCAGAACGTTCCGCAGCCGGAACACCTGAAACATTTTACTTCAAACATTCTATTTTCCCATGTGTCGCTAACAACACAGAGGGCCCCTTGCGCCTGGCACTTCCTGAGCCTGGCGGCCCTGGACACCCCCGTGAGCATGGGGCTGCAGTGTTAACTGGTTTGTGTCTAGCCCGTCTCTCTTTCAGCCCCATCCATCATGGGCTTGCCAGGGCTGCCCTGCCTTGCCAGAGGGTGACACCAAAGCCCTTCCCATGGGGCCCCAGAGGGAGCTGACAGGTGAGGCTCCGGGTCTCTCCCAGGGGGCTCGAGCGGGGGAGAGAAGCGGGACCGGGAAGAGGCTCTGGGTCCCATCCCTCTGGACGGGACCCTAGGTAGGAGGCTCTGGATTCCCTCCCCCCCCCCCCCCCCCCCCCGACTCCCCAGAGGAGCGGGGTCTCCCTGGTTCCTTTCCCCATGGGGCCCTGGAAGGAAGGGTTCCGGCTGCTCCCCCATCCCCATGGGGCCCTGGCGGGGCGGGGGGGCTCGGCCGGCTCCCACTCTTCGGGGGCCGGGCTGGGGGCGGTTCCCGTTCCTGCGGGGCAGGGGGGAGGCGCGGCGGGGGCGGGCCGCCAGGTGGCGCTGCAGGGGCCAGCGGCGGGGTCGCTCTGTGCGCGGCACGGCGCTCGGCGGCAGCCCGGTCCCGGCCGCCGGAAGTGACGCCGCGAGCGGAGCCGAGCGGCCTCCGGTGACATTTTCTCTCGGTGGCGCTCAGGGCGGGGAGCGGGGCAGGCGGCGGCGACCCGGCCTCGGCCCCCCATGTCCGAGCTGCTCCCCCGCGAGGGGGAGGCGAGGAGGAGCCGCAGTGGCGGCGGCGGCGCTGGCACTGGTGAGCGACGCGCGTTCAGCCGCTGGGGGCTCGGGCCAGTCTCGGGGGACCCGCCCGCGCGGCCTGCGCTCTCGGAGGAGCCGGGCTCGCTGCCCCCCCCTCCCCGCCCCTCGCGTCAGGCCGGGCTGGGCGGGAGAGGCCCGTACATCCGCCCCCAGCGCGCCGGGACTGGCAGGAGGCGCGGCCTCGGGTGGAATCCGCGTCTCCCCCTCTCCGGGCCGGGGAGGAAGCCCGTGAGGTGAGGCCGAGGCCGGGCCCGGGTCCGGGTCCCGGCGCGCTGCACCGGGCTGGGCCCCGAAGGGATGCCGGGAGGGGCCTGCGGCCTTAGAGTGCGCAGCGCGGGCTCAGTGCGCGGGCGGGAGGGGCCCGGCTGAGGGGCCCTGCTCTGGTGCCAAGGCGCCGGGTGAATTCTGCGTGGGGGTGGGATTCAGGGGTGGTTCCAGCACCCCAGTGCCCGTGTGAATGCCGGGCCCCCTGGCGGGAGGTCACATCCGCACCCTTGAGCTCCGGGAAATGCAGTTCAGCGCACCAGGGGGTGACTCTTAAAAACTTTATAGCTTCTGGGGCGGCTTTCAGGAGCACTTAGATGTATCTCCCCCCCACCCCCGCCCATTTTACCACATGGCGGGAAATGTGGGAGTGCAGCACCTCACTTCTGGTTTCAAGAGAAGCCCAGTAGAGACCTTTAGTGTGTCGGGATTTGTTCCAGTCAAGGCTGTGGAGTGCCGTTTGAAGTGGGGGCCAATAGAATTTGCTTCTCTGCCTGACCTTTCTCTTTCTCTCAGGCACCCCACCCACCCAGCAGCCTGGTCCTCTGGCCCATGGGTCCCTACACCCATCCTCTCCAAATTTTGAACCAGTGATGCTGCAGTCTGGCATGTGAGGTTGCAGCACCACTCAGGTTTGACCCAGTTGCCCTTCCATCATGATGGAGGGGCAACTGGGCGAAATTGGAGTGGGTGGCATTGTGACCCCGGTGCAAACTTGAGTGCTGCCGCAACCCCGTGTGCCAGGTGGGAATGCCATTCACTCAGATTTGGTTCAGCTGCCCCTCCATCATGACCGTTGCAACCTGGAGTGTGGGGTCAAAGCGCCCTCAGGTTTGGCTCAGTCAAAAAGTGGTCACGTCCCTCTCCCCCCCACCACTCCAGCTCTGCTGCCTGTCATTCTAGTTATAAACTCTTTTGCTCATCCCATCTACCTTTAGGGATCTTACTTACCATGTTTTTTTTAATTAATATTATTGTGGACAGAAAGAATACATAGGGGTAACTGAAATAATGGTTCCTGGTGTTCAGGTTTACTAGGTTAGTGCCAGTGAGCTTTGATGTGATGTTTTGTGTTCATTCATGTCCTGACTTAAAAGCTCAACTCTCAAGTTTTCCAGTTGCCTTTATAGCCCCATAATCTGTTGTAATTTGATTACTCTAGTTCACTGAATCTGTCTTGACAATGCTGGGAAGCACATTTTTGGTTTCTTAACTTAAATAGTTCTAGAAAGAAATTTACATAATCTAATACCATAATATGTTTTGTTTGAAAAGCCCCTGGAGACAAATGTATGCCTAATTTATGTAATAAATAATAGACCTATCTAAATTTATGCAAAAGTTCCAATTCAAGAGTTTATGATGAGTTCAAATTGTGTTTTCCTTACTTAGGCAAATCTCCCATTGACTTTAATAGGAGTTTCTACTGAGTGACAGTAGGACTTGTCACTGAAGCTTTAAGTATAAAGACCTTTTAAAAATACTGTAAATAAAACTTCACTGTCCTGCTTGGTGTAAGAGAGACACTATGGCCATAAGTGCACACTACTACGTATGCCAGCAATTTATGTCAGTCAGGGGTGTGAAAAATAGCACCCCGAGCGACATAAATTATGGTGTGCGCTTCTCCTGCTGACATAGCTACTGCTGCTTGTTGGGGGTGGTTTAATTATGTTGATAGGAGAGCTCTCTCCCCTTGGCGTAGAGTGGCTGTATGAGAGATCTTACAGTGGTGCAGCTGCATTGGAACAGCTGTGCCGCTGTAGCTCTCTAGTGTAGACATAGCATAAGCTGTTGAATATATTTCAGATGACATTTTCTAATGTTTGAGCTTTTCTTTTTGGTCCTACTCATTGTTATAAATTCTGGCATTTTTGGACAGACTTTTCCAAAGTTGTCTTCACTCTTATTCAGAATACTGAAGAATCTATTCTTAAATCTATCTGATTCTATGTAACTTAAATATACTTCTGAAATGTTTTTAATCTTTAAAGAAATCAGCCAAATAATTTGTGCTCTGAGAAGTTTACACATTTGCCTTTGTAGTCTTTTTGGGAAGTCATAACTCAAACAGCGTAGTTATAAAGTTTCAAACTTTTGATGATAGCTAGTGTTAATATATAAGTAACACACAGTTTCTGACTTTGTTTCAAAGACGGTTAGAACTCCTGTGTAGAAATGCTAGTGTCAAATGTTTTACTGGAATCAGTGAATCTTGGCTATTAAAGTCAACCAAACATAAATCTTTGCTGAAATACCTAACAGTGTTCCTTTAAATATATCAAATTTCTGTTATCTTCTGAAAAGTTTTGGGTGGCATAGGATTTTCTGTGATTTGGGTATAGCAAGCGCACAACCTTTTTTTTTCTACATGAAGTTTAGATCCATGTATAAGTAAATCGGTATCACCCAATCAGTGAGATGAAATGTGGTGCAATCAACACAGCAACCATTCCTAAGACTCTAATGACATGCTTGATCAACATGTGAGTGCTGTACTCTTGAGCAGTTTATCTGCTTGGTTAATGATCTGGAAGAGTCAGGTGTTTACAAAAGAAACTGATCCAGAGAAGGGTTTTATTACTTGGAGACTTGAATGGCTGGTAAAATATCAGATAATAATGCCAGTGTACTTATAATACCAGTGTTTTGTTAAGTGAATAATGAGGGGGTGAGGGGCAGAAAAGATGCTGGAAAATGATTGCTGAATATAGTAGCTGCATATGAACAGAAGGATTAAGATAACAGTTCAGATTCATTTTTATCTATCTCTATTTATATACACACTTGTATTTTTTAATTATAAGTGCCAGCTATCCCTATCTGCTTTTCAAACTAATCATTAGTTGGCTGACTTCTTATAGGCATCTCAGCAGAAATGTCTCGAGTAGAGATTCGAAAGAGGAAAAGATAGTGACCTTATGTTTACAAAAAGAAAAGGAGTACTTGTGGCACCATAGAGACTAACAAATAAATTGGTTAGTCTCTAAGGTGCCACAAGTACTCCTTTTCTTTTTGCGAATACAGGCTAACACGGCTGTTACTCTGAAACTTGTGTTTACAGTTACTTGTGTTTACTTGTATTGTGGTAGTACCTGGTCTCATACTAAAATAGGCATTGTAAAAAGTGCAGCAAAAAGACTACATGCTCTGAAGAGCTTACAGTTTATAAGATAACAAACAAATGGTACAACAAACAGATGATGAAGGAAATGCAAAGCAACAGCCAGGCAACTAAGAATAGCATGATAGTCAGTGGTCACAGCACATGCCATGTAAATCCTCCTGAATTGTAAAAGAAGACATGGAAGCACCTGTGGGAAGCTGACAGACTGGTAGATAAGGCTACCATCAACAATGCAGAGGACATGGGGGTTAATGAAGTAAGGCTGGACGAACAAAGAATAGAAACAGAATTGTGAATGGCCTTGAAGATTAAGTAGGAAGGAAGGATACAGTGGAGAGATCCAAAAAAGGGTATGGTTTAGTCAAAGCAGCAAGTAACATACCTGCTGTCAACTTCACCTGTTGCTCTGATCACACCTCTCCTCTTTGAATCCCTTCACTGTCTTCCCAATTATACTGCATCAAGTTCAAGCTTTCTCTGTTTGTTTTTAAAGATCTTCATGGCTCTGTGTTCTTACTTGCCCATTTCCTTTTGTCTTATTGTGACCACTCCCATATCCTTTGCTCCACCGACAATGCAAGTTTCATCACAAAAGCATCTGTGTCCCTTGAACCTGTAGTTTCCGCAGATGTTACAGTATAAAGGAGTGGCTGCAGGTTGTATTTGCTTAAAGAAGGTGGTTAGAACTCCGTTGGCTGTGTTTATCCCCCCCACCCCCCCCAGTTCCCCCCGTCTACACTGCTAACTGAAGGTTTTTGAAAAATTCTTGTAGATTTTAAAGGAACACAATGAACTTTTATTTCTCTGAACACTTTATTACCTACAGATACTAGTAACCTCTAAGGTTCCTAAAACTGAAAGGTCACAGGAAAAGTGTCTGTATTTTAATATACTCTTCATTTGACCTCACTGAGTCTGTAACATAATAATATTAAAATGTGACCTAAAACTGCAGATACTGATAGGGGACTGCTGAGCAAGTGTAGTAAGTCTTTAATCTCCGTTAAAACTGACTAGACTTGAAGCTAATGGTGTTCATATTGCAAAACGTGCATCCACATTCAGCCCAGAGGGCCTTCAGTTTTGCATTTAACTTTTAGCTGTATTGAAAGCCCTAAGAGTTGCTGAGCTACCACAGCACTAGTGCCTGCTCCAATGAAATAGTGTTATCTCCCTTAGTCTATTTATAGTGGTGATGATTTCCATGGTGGACTGACAAACCAAGCTGTTCAGTTCTCACTAATATATGTGTCATTAATCACATGATCTTAAAAGCAAGTCAGTAAAATTAGTATTTTCTTCCCTTAGTTAATTGTACTGTTATAATTGAGAGGAGTATAGGGGTTTGTATAAAAATCCATAACAAAAAATACTTGGTGTGTAGCATTAGATAATCTTCAGTATTGGTAACACCTTCATCATAGAGAATTATTATCCCTATGTTAGGTAAGAAACTGAGCTAGAGAGGTTGCAACTGAACTGGTGGCATAGATGAAGTCCAGGCCAGTGTTATAGCCAGGATTAAAACTAAATAGTTCCTTGCTCCCAGCCCGGTGTTCTCTTAGAATACGTTCCCCTGTTCACACGCATCTGTAATACATTTT